ACTCTTTCCTGCCTATGCAGGGGGTCGGACTCGATGATCTATTGAGGTCCCTTCTGACCCTAACATCTATGAATCTATGAATCTCTAACTCCGATTATTAAAGCTACAGCAGCACTTTGCTCCTCGTGCACGGCACAGGATGCAAAAATGTATGCACTGTGAAAAAGACCACTAATATTAGAAGCAGGAACTGACTTCAGATGTATTTTCCTAGAAAGAGCAAGAAAAACATGAAGCAATAATGTTTGGGAGGCGTCTAGGTAAGTGCAGGGAATTAAATATTAACTGAAACAACTATTCATTGGGAACTTAATGCACTACCCTGCCTTTGTTTTAGTATTCTATCACACAGCAGGCCACCATATTTTCTGTATCTTTGTCCATATTTTTGCCCATATTCCACCCTTGGCTGTGACACGAGTGAAAAATAAAAAGGTCAAAGAACTAGGCAACACCACAGACTAATTTTATCCCCTCATCCCTCACAATGTTCTGCTGACCCCAGTGAGAATGAAGCAGGTGCTATTCCTACAGCTTTAAGGTCTACAAATTTTAAATGGTATGAAAAGGCATCACATGGGTTTGCATTCTGGAAAGAGACATACATGAGAACAAGAGTCTCTACTCCATAGCAAGAAAGGAACCAGAAGGAACCATGGGCATGCTGGTTCTAGCTCCTAAGTGAGTACAGAACGTAACAAACATGCTCTGAATGAACAAACCAGTGCAGGGTCTTCCTTAGGAGGCAAGGGAATTCTCCTAACAGACCTCTGTAAGGCAGAGTACAGAACCAAGAGACCATGGGGGCAAAGGAAACCCTCAGATCTTCCCGCCTGGCCTAGAAATGCAAATATCAGATCTGCCTTTACCTTGAAGGCTGTCTGAAGGAGTGGCTCTTACCAAACAGGGTTCCTATGAAATGGATGCACACCCTTTCGTCCTGAGCCAGCAGCTGGATGACTGGCACCACGTGCCAGGCCAGGATGTCTCGGAAGCAGGACAGCACGTGCTTCCTTCGCACCAGCTGGGGGTTAAAAACAAAACCGAACCAACCTCAGGCTCACTGCAGGGATGGACAGGCAGGGCTCACCCCAGGGCTGAGGGGGTGGGTGCAGGCACCCCTTAATTTTGGAACCAGTGTTATTGGCTATGGGGCTGATAATGCCAGAGACTAGTGCACTAGTGCTCCCAGTTGGGGGTTCAACTCCTGGGTAACTCCCATTGCACCCCTGCCTGCCCAGGTAGCATCAGGGGCTGGGCTGTGAGGGCCAAGGACTGGGCTGTCACATGGGCAGCGAGGGGCAAGGCTGAGGGGACAGGTGTGGAGAGACTGCTGAGGAGCCTGCTGGGATGCGGGGGAGAACTGCTGCCCCATCCCCTTGGGATCAAGCGAGCCAGGCCCAGGGGAGCTCCAGCTGTACAGCTCTGGTCCATGGCCCTGCAAGGTGTAGATCTCTCAAGCCCTGGGCCTGACTTCAACCCAAGGCCGTCTCTCTACAGCATTCCTCTCTGCTCCTGGCTGTGACAGAAGCCAGCCACGGCACCAGCAGGGGCGGGCAGGCGGGGGAGGGCACGACTAGGGCGTCCCCACAGAGCGGGGGGAGGGGGCGGAAGACGCCACGAGCCCCCCCGCTCCGCACCGAGGCGCCGCCGTCGCCCAGGGCCTCGATGACACAGGCCAGGCACAGAGGCGGCAGCA